CCCCGCCCGGCCCCTCCCGCCCGCCGGCGTACCGGGACGCGCCGGGGAAGGACCGGGGAGCAGCCGCGGGAGGAAAGAGGAACGGACGCGGCGGGAGCGGTGAGGGCGGAGCGGCGGCGGCGGCTGAGGCGGGCGGCGGGCGTGGGGCGCGTGCGCGCGGCGGGAAGCGTGAGGGGAGGGCGCGCGGGGGATGGCATGGGGGGGAAGCTCCTTTTGGTACTGCGCATGCGCGGGGCGGGGCGCGAGCTGCGTGGGGGTTTCCCGCCTTTTTCTGTGAGGGGAGCGGGAACTTTGCTGTCCCTTTATCGCTGTGCGGGAGCCCTGAGGGGCGGAGGGCGTTCCTCCGTTTTACCGTGAGGGCTGGAAGGGGTTCCTCCCTTCCGTGAGGGCTGGAGGGTGTTCCTCCGCTTTACCGTGACGGGTGGAAGGGGTTCTTCCGTTTTAACGTGAGGGGAGAGGGAATTTCCCGCCCTTTTTCCGTGAGGGGTGGAGGGGTTTCCTCTCTCTTTTCTCTGAGGAGTGGAGGGGGGTTAATCTCTTTTTCCGTGAGGGGAGGGGGAATTTCCCGTCCTTTTTCCTTGAGGGATGGGGGAGAGTTTCCTGCCTTTTTTTCCGTGAGGGGTGGAAGGGGTTCCTCCGTTTTTCTGTGAGGAGTGGAGGGCTTTCCTCCCTTTTTCCATGAGGGGTGGAGGAGTTTCCCCCCTTTTTCCGTGAGGGATGGAGGGGGTTCGTCCCTTTTTCAGTGAGGAGTGGAGTGGATTCCTCCCTCTTTCCCTGAGGGATGGATGGGGAGTTTTCTCGCCCTTTTCCGTGAGGGCTGGAGGGATTCATCTCTTTCCGTGAGCGTGGAGGGGTTTCTTCCCCTTTTTCCGTGAGGGGTGGAGGAGTTTCCCCCCTTTTTCCGTGAGGAGAGGAAGGAAGGGTTTTGCTTCCTTTTTCCCCGGGCCAGGGGGGTCTCCCGCCCTTTTTCCATGAGGGGAGAGGATTTTCTCACCAGGCAGAACCGTGTTAGGAGGGTTTGGGGCGTGCTGGAGCTGTGGGCTGTGGGTTTGGGGTCCATTACGGGAAAATCCCCCTCAGGATCTACAGACACCCCTCGACGGGCTGTTGTTGTGACAGACCCACCGGAACCGGTAATGCAGTAATAAAAACCCTTTATTTCCCAATATATTGCCCCCAAAAGCCTCCTGCAGGCTGGGGGAGTGCGGGGGTGGCAGGGGGGGGAGCACCCCACAAACTAACGGAGGCACCCCAGAAACTGAGGCGGGCACCCCAAAACCCGTGAGGGGCAAGGGCACCTTTAAACCTGAGGGGGTCTCCCCAGGGGGAAACTGAGGCACGGGCAGTTCAAGGCACTTGCAAAGGCGTTTGAGGGAGGGGCAACCCCTGAGGGACCCCCAGATCTACCCCTGCCCCCCCCGGGGGGACCCAGGCGTCGGGACCCCTCAATAATTTAAGGCTGGGGGTCCCCCTGTGCGGGGGGAGGTTTGGGGAGGTCTCCGTTGGGGTTCTTGGCTTGTTCAGGCACCGTCTGGGGCATCTGGAGGGGGCACAAAGTGGGGGATTAGTTACACCCCAGGGACCCCCAAACCCTCTGGGGATCCCCCCGGTACCCTCCACAGGGCAGCAATCTCCTCCCAGTGTTTCCAGTTCTCCCCTGTATGTTCCTCCCAGTTCCACCAGTAGGGCCGCCCTCCCTTTCCCAGTTCTCCAGGTTACTCCCCACTCCCAGTGCTCCCAGCTGTCCCCTACAGGTCCTTCCCAGTGCTCCCAGTGCCCTCCCACAGGGCAGCAGCCCCTTCCCAGTGCTCCCAGTACCCACCAGTGGGGGCGGCGGTGTGGCTCTGCCGTAGGGGGAAGGTGATGTAGGCGTCATATCCCAGCAGGATCCCGGCCAGGATCCCGAACACCTGGGGGTACAGGGGGTCAGAGACACCCAAACTTCCCGGGATCCCCCCAAACCCCCCGCACCCCTCAAGACTGGGGGGATCAGAGACCCCCAAACCCCCCTGTACCCCCCCACACACACAAAGACACCCCTCAGTCAGGAGTCCAAACACCCGGGAGGGGTCAGAGACCCCTCAAACCCCTCCTGCACCCCCCAACCCCCTGGTCAGGAGCCCCAACACCCGAGGGGGGATCAGAGCCCCCCCCAGGCCAGCCCCCCAAACTCTCCCCTCACCCCTCCCGCGATGCCGGCGCCGTTGTGGTGGCTGACGAGGACGATGAGGGAGGTGATGAGGAAGAGCACAGCTCCGATGACGCAGCGTGTGAAGTCCTGGGGGGCACACATGGGACCCCTCAGAGACCCCCCAAGCCTTCTGGGGACTCCCAAACTCCAGGGCTTCCCCCCAGGGACCCCCAGACTCCCTGGGGACCTCCAGTCCTCAGGGACACTGCCCCACTCAGCCACTGCAGGACCTCCAACCCTGCCCCCAGCCCCCCCAAACCCCCTGTAATCCCCCCAAGCCCCCTTGCTCACGCTCCAGCCCCAGTGCAGCAGCTGCATGCGGGGCGGCAGGCGGCAGCTCCAGGCCAGCAGCACCAGCGCAGCGAACACCAGCTCCACCGCCGCCAGCCCCAGGTAGCCCGAGCGCGACGAGTGCTCCCCAAACCCCTGTAATCCCCCCAAGCCCCCTTGCTCACGCTCCAGCCCCAGTGCAGCAGCTGCATGCGGGGCGGCAGGCGGCAGCTCCAGGCCAGCAGCACCAGCGCAGCGAACACCAGCTCCACCGCCGCCAGCCCCAGGTAGCCCGAGCGCGACGCCCCGAAGCACACCAGGGTCAGCAGGCACAGGACCTGTGCGACAGGGACCTATGGGATCCATACGGGATCCGCCCGCTGCTCCTCTGAGCCCCACAGAGACCCCCTGAGGTGTGCCCCATTATACACACAGCCCTTATGGGGTGTGTGCTGTGTGCCCTATAGGTGTGTGTGTGTGAGCTGCAGCCAGGCTCCCTAAAGGAGCATAAAGGGACAGCAGGGACCCTCTGGTGCCTTCAGAGACCCCTATGGCGCTGATACAAACCCCGTGTATGACTGCCGGGGGAATGCCTGCAGTGGCCCCTATAGGGATCCTGAGCACTATCCTGTAGGGCCCTACAGCTTCTGGGCTGTCACCTACAGACTCTTAGAGCACCTCTTTGGTACCACTGTGGGGTCACCTATAGATGTCCTGTAGTGCCAATAGGGTGCTGTAGGGTCACCTATAGATTCCCCCATAGCGCCCCCTATAGGCTGTTATGGGGTCCTCTATGGATATGCCATAGCACTCCCAACAGGCCGCTGTGGGGTCACCTATAGACCCCCCCCTCCCAATAGGCTGCTGTGGGGTCACCTATAGACCCCCCCTCCCAATAGGCCGCTGTGGGGTCACCTATAGACCCCCCCCCCAATAGGCCGCTGTGGGGTCACCTATAGACCCCCCCATAGCGCCTCCCGTGGCCACGCCCATGTCCCCCCATGGGACCGCGTGGGCGGCGGGACAAGGGCGCCGCTGTGGGAGCGCCGGGGCGGGGCCGTCTCCCGGCAACGGTCGCCATGGCAACGGCACAACAGCCCCCACCCACCCACCCGTCAAGGGGTGATGGCGTGGGTGGGGCCCGGCGGGCGGGGGGCTCTTAAAGGGGCAGAGGTCGGAGCGCTCAAAGGCGGCGCTGCCCCGTGACGCGGGAGGCTGGCGCAATAACGGCTGGCACGGCGGGCCGGGCACCGCCCGAGCGCCGCTGCTCCCCGCGCACGGCCAGACAGACATCCGGCTGCTCCGCCTTTGCAGCCGGGGCCCCTGGCCCCGCCCTTCTCACCTTCCCCGCCCGCCCCCCCTTCCCCAAGGGCGTTGTCCCTCCACGCGCCCGAGCGGGACCGGGAGGCGCGGGGGGAGCGGCGCCTGCGGTGTCCCACGGCACGGGGGACACTGCGGGCGTGTCACCCCCGGACACCCGGCTCCCTCACTGCACGTGCCGGCCCCAGCGCTCCGGGAGCGCTCCGGGAGCCGGGCATCCCCCGAGGGAGACGCGGTGTCCCGCTGCTCCCCCAATGGGGACCCCGGTGTCGCGGTACCCCCGATCCCTTTCAAAGCAGGGACCCCGGCAAAACCGGCATCCCGCCATCCCGCTCCTGCAGCCCGCCACGGACACGGGGACCCACGTGTCGGGGTGCCCCCAGGCCCCCACAGCGGGGATCCCAGACATCCTGCCCCACCCAAACCGGGACTCACGGATCCCCCCGCCCCCCGAATGAGCGCCCAGGCGTGTCCCCCCTCCCCAAAGGAGCCGGGCACCGAGGCACCCTGCCCCCTCCAACAGGGACCGGGCATCCCGCTGCTTGCCCGCCCCGAGCCGGACCCAGATGTGTCCCGGTGTGTCCCCCCGGTGCCCACGCCGCTGGGTCCCCAGCCCGGTACCCCACCCCGGTACCCCACGCGACGCCCCCCGTGTCTCACGATCTCGCCGATGAGCACCAGCCCCTTGTGGGTGCGGCTGAAGGCGAGGCAGGTGGCGGGGCAGCTCTGGGCCCCGCTGGACTCCATGGCGGGACCGGGCGGCACCGAGCGGGCGGTGGCGGCGGGGGGGGGCTGGGGGAGCTGTGGCGCGGGTGGGCGGGGCCTGGCGGCGGGGGAAGCCCCTATTAGGGATGAACGAGGAGGGAGCCCCGGGGGCGGGGCCACGGGCGGTGCGCACCGTCACGTGACCGGGCGGGGGAACCCCCGGCCGGGGGTCCCGGGGGAGGGGCCTGGAGCGCGGAACCCCCTGCGATGATTGGGTAGGGGGTCCTGGGGGGAGGAGCTGAGGGTGGGCGGGGCTTGGAGCGGGGAAGCCCCTCCGAGTGCCGGTGGGCGGGGCTTGGCGCGGGGGAAGCCCCTGGCGGTGGCGGGAAGGGGACCCCGAGGGGCGGGGCTTGGAAGGG